CCTGTTGAGGTTTATTCAATGACAAAAAAAGGAAAACAAGAAAAAGAAAGAGCATTTTAGTAAAAAATAATTGAGAACCCTTAGTGACTGAATAGGCTTGGGAATTAGTGAAGTAGGAGATGGGACCTCAAGGATCTGTTATGGGCATAGTGAGGTAAGATGATAGAACTTTCAGTTTGCTGGCAGTTGTGTGCTTTCTAGTTGCTGTGGCAAATGTAGGTCCTTGTCATTCATTTTATTTTTTGATCGTTGGGATATTCACTGCACTCTTACAACTTGAAATCATCCATGCAGTTTGTATACAAGCTATAGCTTTTGCTTTCATTTTCTATCATCTGCTGTAGATTATGATATCAGGTAAGCTACAGTCTTGATATAACACTTTTTTACTTTCTTTTTATCTTTGACAAGATTGAATATAAAAGTGCAACGGTTGCTTTCCAACAGAATTACTCTGTCAATATGATTCCATAACAAGCCACACAGTGGCATATTACATGCCTTACTTCCTAGAGAGAGATTTAGTACCCATGGCAGTGTATATATAATTCAATCGGTCACGTAGTCCTGCAATAGGCTACCTGTATGCTCTTAGTTCTGCATACGTAAAACTGGTTACTTCGGGTTCCTACAAAGATATTACTCCAGTTTTTATAGCATTCATACCGAAACTTATGCAAAAACATCTTTTCATCTTTTCTGGGGTATATGAGAAGTTGAAGTTTTTATGCAGGAAGCAGACTTTAATTTGGTAACTGTCATAATGGGTGCCAATTTTTATCGACGTGGAAGACACCTTGATTTCGTTAGAGATTTTGTGCCACCAAGCACTTCTGAGTTTGACAGTGTGTATCAACCATACAGGTATTTTGTCATGCTCTAGTTGGAACACACTGACTATTGAAGTGTGTGACCATCTCATCTAAAAGCTTAAGGTGTTAGAGAGAACACACTTGTATTACTTAATTATATTCTCAATACACCCACTCATAACGACCGATGCTGATATTTTATTCGAGGAATCTGTCTGCTCTAATGCCATATTGAAGTGTGTGACCATCTCATCTCAAAGCTTAAACTGTTAGAGAGAAACACACGTATTATTTAATTATATTCTCAAAACTAACCACTAACCAGTCGGTAGGGGATTGTAGAGATGCATAATTTGTTTCCTGGTTATTTACAATGTGCTCTATGTTCATAGATATGGTATCTAGTTTAGGAGGTTCCATTCTGACAATGTATTTTTTGGTGGTCTTGCTTCTCTATATAAGATGCTACCTTAGGACTAAATTAGGGTTAAGCTAATCAGAAGCTCTTATTGGTGTAGTGAATCAACTCTTCTGCTCTGCTATTTATGTGTACTTAGTTCATTTGATATAAACACAAATACTGCAAGTTTATTTGATCATTATTTCTTGTGTGACTGATTAAAACACAGGTGGATGGAAGTTGCCTTCAATCCTGTGATGATATCAACTCTTGAGAATGGGAATATTGTTCGGGGTCTGACTGGAATTCCTTCTGAAGGACCAGTCTTACTTGTTGGTTACCACATGATGCTTGGACTTGAACTAGTTCCTTTGGTGTCCCGTTTGTGGAATGAACATCAGATTGTCCTGCGAGGCATAGCACATCCATTGATGTTTAAGAAGCGAAGAGAGGGAAAAATGCCTGTGTTATCAATGTATGATGATTACCGATTTATGGGTGCGGTTCCCGTGTCAGCCACTAACTTTTATAAACTTTTATCATCAAAATCCCATGTCTTGCTTTATCCTGGGGGTATGCGGGAAGCTCTTCATCGGAAGGTATTACCTAGTTAAAGCATCTTGCTAATAAACGCTCTTCTCAAAATATTTCTGCATTTACCGACTTCAATGCAGTCAAATTCTATATTTTGTTTTAAGAATCGAAGGGTTGCATTTCTTAAAAAGTTTGTGATTAACTTGTGTGATTTTTCTCTTCTCCACTTGAAACATAAAGTCATGTAAAACATGAATGAGTTGACCACTGAACTTTTGTTTCATCAAAACCTAAGGACAAATTTGTACTGCACCGTCCACCAGATCAATTGATTTTGTATCTTAGGCTCAACTTTAGTCTGATTAATGTCATATGTATAAGCAGTTTATCTTGTTCATATATCCGAAGATATTTATTATGATAGGAAATTTAACAATGCTGTTTGAAAATTGAATCTCTTATCCGTAAGCGTTAGATATTACAAATATGTGTACTAATTTACGTTGTATGTCCAAACACATCACAAAATGTTGAATTAAATGGCCATTCTCATATTGATGAAACAAAATTGAAATTTACAACCTGTTGATTTCTCAATATGCTATGTATTTGTTGTCTGTGGTTGTATGGAAAGCTTGATACAAAGTGTAGATCTATATATGGCATAAGTTAAGTATTGAAATTTGAAATAAGTTGCTGAAAGATGTTTGCTCAATTATGGGGAGATTGACTTGGAACAGTATAGCAGCAATCCTTGCAGTTCTTAATGTTGAATAAGGTTATTATTTAGCCAGTGAGCAGAAGATAAAAGTGTGCTGCTCTTCTAATAATTTAGTCTTCTATATTCAGGGGGAGGAGTACAAATTGTTCTGGCCAGAACAGTCTGAATTTGTCAGGATGGCAGCTAGATTTGGAGCAAAAATTATACCTTTTGGTACAGTGGGTGAAGATGATATTGGCCAGGTAGTTTCACGAGTTAACATATTTTGTTTTTGGAAGTGTTTAATCAGGACATGCAACCAACATATATTCTGGTGGATCAGTTTCACCACAAAAGTTGAGATTTTTTTTTTTGGGAATGCATAAATACATTAATAAATATAAAAACAATTGCTTAAAGGAATGTTGAATACATATGACAACAAGATGAAATTCATTGTTTTACCTGAATGGATCAGATTTGATGGGACAGAACAGTTTGTGGCTTCAGTTCAATAACAGTGTTTTAATAATTGAACTGAATTATTTAGGCTTTTTCAAGTGCTGAGGTTATCCAGTTCAGATGGTTTGAAATTTTTGCAAGTAGAAAAATTAGCCATTATTTGGCTGGTGATATCCCCTCAATTTGGAGCATGGAGAAAATGCTTTTTAATTTTGCTTTTACCCCAAAGCTCTTTCCTTAAGAAGCAATTATACAATAATGCACCAGCTGTTTTCTGAATCTGCTGTGATTAACATTGAGATAGATTTCCTTATTGGAAATATCAACTTTTGTATCACAAATTCTTCCTCTTGTTCACTCGTCAATCTTTCAATCAGATGCTCCTTGATTATGATGACATGATGAAGGTTCCATATCTCAAGGCTCTCATAGAGGAGTTAACTGGTGAGGTGGAGAAGTTAAGGTATTGAATTTGTTCTTTCCTTAGTTTATCTGACTTAGTGTGTGTTTTTGGTATGGCGAAGAAGTTATATTTCATGGTAAATGTTTTCCAGTAAATAATATATAAAAGATTAATAATATTTTTAGTAAATATAAGAGTGGTTTGATGTTTTTTTTTTAAAAAAACTAAAGGGTACTACTACTAATGTCTGTGTAAGTTGAACGGAATGATTTGTGACATAAGGAGGATAAGTTATTTTTTACATCAGTAGTCTGTCCAAGATAGGAGTTGGTTCTACTAGTCTCTTATTTCCAGTTACTTTTTCCCCCCTAATTATTTTGGTTCACTTTGCAAACCATTTAGTTGAGTGAGAGTTAAATTCACAGAAGAATGGTATCTTGTATGTGAACACAGATATGACACTGAAGGAGAGGTTTCAAACCAAGATGTGCATCTTCCAATCATTCTTCCGAAAGTTCCTGGCCGTTTTTACTTCTACTTTGGCAAGCCAATTGAAACAGCAGGTAATTTGTGAAGTATATTTGAGTGTATTCTTGACGTATATATATATATATATATATATATGGTTTAATTTAGTTGTTGTTTGCGCTTTGCAGGGAGGAAGGAGGAACTTAAAAGCAAGGAGAAAGCACATGAATTATACTTGGAAGTGAAGTCTGAGGTTGAGAGATGTATTGATTACCTGAAGGAGAAAAGAGAGAGTGATTCGTATAGGAATATAATGGCCCGCCTGCCTTACCAGGCTAGCCATGGCTTTGATTCTGAAGTTCCCACCTTTGATCTATAGTATTATGTAAAAGAAGAACAAAAGAAAATACTTAATACTGTTGCAGCGATCGAGTTGATCAATGTGTAGAGCGCAGTATTAGTTAAAAGGTACCAGCGTAGGCCAAACCTATAGTATAATGTAATATTAAGTTTAATGATAATGCCCTAAAACACTTGTTTCAGTAGAATAGAGCAAAAATGATTAGGCAAAAGACGTTTAGGTAGAAGTGGTCCCTTCATCAAGTATAGTAAGGTAATTAATTATGAAGTAGGTCTAATGGCAATGTTATTAACTAAATATATATGGGATGTGGTTAACAACATAATACTTGTTTGATTGTGGAATGGTTGGTTTTGAAGCTCAACAGAATGTTTACTTTGTTTGGGCTAGGGGACAGAGGAGAATAAATCCACTGCATGCAGAGAATGAATTAAGAGCCTAGGTACTTGATCATCTCATGCATTAATATTAATGAATAAAGACAAGCCAAACCCACCTGGTCACTTACTTCTTTTACTCACTTCACTGCGCCATAATTGAGAGCATAACTAGTTAGTTAACTCTGCTCCTAACAAACATCCCTTCCCTTCTCAACCATGCATGCATGCAACTATAAATAACACTCTTTATCACATTTCTTCATATAGTAACCAATGTATTTGGTTAATGTATTATAATAATAATAATATTCAATTTTAAAAGATTAAAGTAGTACCGCCGATAAGAGAATAAGAGTTAATCAAACAAGACTAATATAATTAAAGGTGAGTAGTACATGGATTAATTAAGATAAGACGTAGTATAACGGAGCGACTAATACCATTCAGATCTAATGCTCGCTAGTTCTAAAGAAGCAAAATCTACAAACGAAGGGTAAGGTCGAGATTCAGCTGGGGTTCATCAATGGGGAACAATGACAAATCCTCACCAGTAGTAGAAAAATATCCATGATTCGGCGGAGGATAGAAAACGGCGGATGAGGAGGAGCACAAGCTATTGTTTGAAGGAGGCGGTGGTTGGACTTGGAGCTGGCAGGAGTAATTAGCATTGATGATGTTGTGTTGTTGAGGCACATTCTCATTGTTGTTGTGAAGAAAATGGAATTGGAGCCTATTATTGTTATTGTTAGGGTCGGTAGAGAACATATTCCGGCGAGAAGCGGCTCTTTCTCGTTTGTGAGCATTCTGATGTCCTCCAAGTGCTTGAGAAGTGCAGAACTTACGGGAACAATAGAGGCAAGAGAACATTCTAGATGAAGATGGAGCTACTTTAGGTTTAGGGATCATGGGTGGTTCCAGCATAATATCTGGGGCAACGGAGTTAGACTGGTTCCAGAAATCATAAACTAGGTGGGTGTGGTCCGCCATTAATGACTTTTAATTTCAGAGCAGAGAAGGTATGTATGTATATATAGGAGAGGAGAGAGTAGTGGTCAGTAGTGGGGTGGGGGAGAGGAGCTAGCAGGAGGAGGAATATAATGGGACAGAAATATTATTGCAGATCAACAGAAGAGAGAGAGAGTGTTAATTTGTTTGTATCTCTCTCTCTCTCTCTATATATCTATATCTATCAGCTGCATTCAGCTCCACCCCGTTGTTGTTAGTACACAGTTGTTAAAGTGTACAGCTAGCTACCTTCCTTCCATTTTTACTCATCATTTCCAATAATATTTCTTAATAATAAGTAACTACACAAATATATTACTCCATCAATTTGTCGACTTAAAAACTTCCTAGGATCAATTAAGTTTCGAAATGAACTCATATTCTCTTTCATTCTAACTATTCATTTATCCTTTATTTTCAAACTTCATTGTTTTTCACTATTTTATCCCACCTCTAACGTAAATTAAAATTAATCCAAGAGTTGTAATATCAACACTAAAATACAACGTACACAAGCTTATGTTGATTATTAACAATTCAAGTTTAAATTGGTTTTTAGGTATTCCAATATTACTCTTAATTTACATTTTTAGCTTATAGACCCTACCGGGGTACATTTTACAAGATAAAAATACTTTCTCCGATTTGATTGTCAAAACATATATAGATTCGTTGCTCCAGTAATTTATGTGGAACAATCGAATTTCAAGGGCAGATCAATCTTTTTTACCTGAATTTCTTTAAATGCCTTTTAAATATCTTAAATTATTACTGCTTGTAATAATGATTTTTATTATTATGATTCTTGAAATTTCAACTATGCCATATAAATTGGGATTTGTAGTTTTAAATTAAGATCAATTAAAGAATAATAAATACTAGTGTTGAGGAGGAGAGATGATTTGATGTGTTAAAGTGATAAGAGGATACCTATACTATGAGTGATTTTTGATTAGATATAGGGATGGATGTGTTAAAACTCAAAATGGTATGGGTGAGTACGTGAGAGTGGTTTAACTTTAAGGAGATTGATATAGTTATAGTATTTGTTTAAGGAAAGGGAAAAAAGTGATTGACAAAGGAAAATTGGTTCAGCTTCTGACAGAGAAGAAACAAACAAGCATTAAAAGAAGAAGGCAAAGTCACCTCTAAAATGCCTATAGATGGGAGGTATGGATGGACATGGTGGTGGAGAGAGAGTAACACCTATGTTGTTATATCATCAACTACTCTAGACATTCTATGAGAATCTAGAATTGTCATTCATTTTATTATTTATTCTGTAGAAAAAGGACAAACAGACAGTCACTTACTTGAGTTTGTTACAATTAGTAGCAGTGAGTGGAATCACAATAAAACCCACAACTATATTCCCTACCTATACTCTCCTCCCACTTTAACAAGACGTCTCAATCAATGCAACGTTGGTTTTTTTAATTAAAATTATAATATATGCTAGTTGAAAATTTACTATCGTGACAAAAATTAAGTAAATAACTAGAAACAAAATGAATTTGGCAGCCGAGAGACAATTTTGATGTTACACTCGCATTCCCTTTTATAATTTGGTGCCACAAAACTATACTCTGCCCATTCTCCCTGCATCCAATAAAACCACCACTCCTCACCCTGCATGTTGCAGGAATCATCCCACTCATAACTCGAGGAGAAATGTACATCCGGGGATCAAAAATCAACTAAAGCAAAGGGATGGACCCAGCCAGCCTTTTAAATTTTTCCCCTTGATATACTAGAATTTCACATATATTTAAAATTATTGCTCTGTCTGATTGCAGTTTGGTCGACAAAGATTTAGAGGAGGGAGTTTTCTGGGTAGCGCTGATGTTTAAGTAAACAACATTTACAATAAGATTCTTACTCTCACAATACTGCAAGAGCATCAAATATTGCCATCATTCGCCAACTTCAGCTCAGCGCTTACGGCTCCAAACAATAAATGCAAATAAGAATTTGAATAACTCAAAAACTTTCATTGGATCTTCTGATAAAAGAACCACCGCATTTGTATGTATACCTAGGGCTACTTTTGTAAGTCAATTGTACATCTAAGACTTGTTCAATAGGAGGATTACTTTGGTCAACAATATACTTTTTCTAATTCATTCTCAAGTCAGTCACCTGCATTTGGTTAACTTGACTCTTAAACGAGTAATTGCAATTGGCTGGAAGTAATGCTGATTTTTATCTGACTCCCCTGGAAAAAAGACATCCCTTCAGGGCGACTTCATAAAAAAATACGTCATTGCAACTTCCTTCACGATTCAGCATATCACTATTTTATTTGATCTAATCTTTTTTCCCACATTTAGATTCGAGATACCACAATGTTAAATGCAGCTAATGTGTCATCCATCACCAACATTGGTAGAAATTGAAAATAACATAATGAATGATAGTTTGGTTGTCTTGAGTTCCCATCATATAAAAGAGCAAGCCTAGGAAGAGGTCTGGTACCTCCAGAATAATGTTAGCTTTTCTAAATGGATGAAGGTAAATAAATACATTCTCAGTCCCGTTCATTAGAAGGATGAGATTAAAAGAAAATCACCAAACACCCATGTCAACAACACTAATCAGAACTAACCAAAATAAATAATTGTTATTGGTGGTGAATGAAACTAAAATGGCCTGGCAGCTTCTTCCATCAACTTTTTTGATCTCATCAATCTCTCTACCTCCTTCAGAGTCTAAAATCACAATAAAATACAACACCTATAAGGTCAATTATCAAATGAAATAATATATATCCATCCTCCCACTTATGAAGAATTTTCTTTTACCTCCAAAACCATATCTTCTGTGGTCACTGCGTCCAGTGTATCATAGCCTAGCCGAGAAGCAGTATCTGCAAAGAATAAATAAGCTGTTAAAATACAGCAAAAGATGTGTTAGTGCTAATGAGTATGAAGCAAATAGAAATTACTCTGTAGTGCAATAGTTGTATCAGCTGTAGCATATCCATTACGGCTATCTTCATAAATAGCAGTTAATTGAGTCAACACCTGTGGCCATGGTAAGCTAAAAATCAGCATGATAGACCAACAGCTGAAGAAATCCACAAACAAGAGGTATTATTAAGCTAGAAAAGGATGATTAACATCAAATATCTGTGTTTTGTCTTGCTTTTTAGGTGGAAGTCATCAGAAATATACCTCGGAATATGATCCATTTATTGCTTCAGCAGCAGGAAGTTGAAATTTCTCCTCCACAATCTGCTTGGCTACCATATCCAAGGGGACATCGATCCATATTGATATGCCGTGTCTCATAAGCGCCCTGTAAAAGTAGTCAAGTTGTGATCAAGAACAAGTGATCGTCTTCCAGGGGAGAGTATAATTAAGAAAACTCATACAGATTTGCTGCACACTGAACTGCACCATTCCCAGCACAAACAACAAGGCGACCCATGGATGACAACTGCTTCAGTACCTCCGTCTGCATTTTCAAAATAGGTTTCGGTCATAAATCTCAACATCAACATAGAGAAGCGGTACATTAGGAAGACGGGCACCTCCGAATCACGAAATCCCTTCAAGTCTGTCTTCATAAACGACCGGACAGCATCCTTTCCTCCCAAAGCTTGTTCAACAACACTATCGCTGCAATAGATTAAGGTAATAAGATGATGAGTTTAGTTTAGGGTTTTTGGAGAAAACGTGAACAAGTGATGTACCTGTCAAAATAATAATAGCGCAGTGCGTCTGCAAGAAGTTGAGCGGAGTTAGATTTGATGGAGCTGTTTATTCCTTTCAATTCAAAGCAACACGAGATAATTAGTGAGTGAGTTTTGGGAAAGCAAAATGACAAGATTGAAACAAGGGAGAAAAGTTATGCCCACCAACAAGGAATAAACAAGTTCCTTTCAAGTCTGGGGATATCTCTGCTGCTTTCCTCTGAATCACATCGAGTCAGTCAAATGGACTAGTTAAAAAAAGAAGATTGACGTAAACAGAAGCATCCTCAATCTTACCTTGAGGGTTAACGAAATGGTGAAATCTGAAAATGAGAAATCATACTCAGGTTAATTAGGAACCATTATCAAGCATTTGGCGTGCGAGACACAGACAGACAGACAAGACCGACGACTCACCATGGTTATGCTTGGAAACTGCTCTGGGCGGCTTCAGATGATGGCAAAAAGTAGGGACGACGAATGGCTGAGCCAATTGGACCACCTTCATTTTCCTTATCACCAAGCTAAGGATATCAAATTTTATTATTTTTACGCACTTTTTATTCTCTTTCTGTACATACACTTTTTGTACTAAAAAAATATGGTAATTCTTATCAAATAAATAAATTTAAACGGCCTTCGGCTTAAATTGCAACTTTTGATTGCTGCATGGACAGTAATAGAATGTACTAGATTATAAACACAAGGTAACTGGGAATCATTCTTAATTTGACGTTTCTCTACAAGGGGGGTAGGGGTGGATTTGAACACCGCGAGATCAAAATTGTGGCAGGAAGCTCCCGTTACATTTGTGTAAGTAAGATACATGGAGAACCATTCAAAACCGAACAAATAAAACCTTACATTAATTAATAACATATGTACAAATCCCACTCCTGCAATAATGCTTGTGGAAACAAACTCTACACACCCACGAACCCAAAACAAAAATATATATATATCAGCTCCTACCTGCATCCACCAAAAATGGCATGTCAAAGATAAAGGGGGAGGAAATGAATTATACTATCACAAGAAAATCAACGCATTCCTCTTTTAGCTACTCTACAAATACTTCAATTACTCAACACCAGTTATCCACCCACCCAAACAAACAAACAACCAATCTGACATACTTTACCAGTGAAGATTTAACCAGGTGGAGGGTACAAGACTAGACAAGATTCAAACACAACTTGTAACCCTTCTTTCTCCTTCTCAAAACACTCAGGCAGATCAATCACAGATATGAGGTTCACTTTAGAATTTCTCACTAGCTACTTGTCTGGAAACAGTATAGTTGCCAGGTTACTATGAATCAACTTTACCTCTGATTTGCCCAGAATTTGAAGTGTTTGAAAGAGAGAGAGGTGTCAATGGAGGAGAGCACATCACATCACCCTTGCCCTTTCTTTGAGGAGATTCTAGAAGCTGGGCTACATGTAGTGCCATTGCTCTCTGATTATTGGAAGGTATAGAAAAACTTCGAGGAATGGTTAGCGGAGGAAGTGGTAGTGGAGAACCCGTATTTGATGCCAGCACAGGGCTCTGATTAGTTGGTGATGTTTCTTGATTTCGGTTGACTAAAGGCGCAGAGTGCCCAAATGCAGTAGAACTTGATGGCTTGGAGGCCAATATGCCAGGGGGACGAGGGAGCTCATGAAGCTCACTTATTTTTGGTGAAGAAACAAGGGGAGGTGAAGCACTGTAGGATACATCTAGAGTCGATGGTGGCTGACTTATTGGTATACCAGAAGCCAATCCAGGTTCTAAAAGAGGCCGTTCGGCCAAGCCAATAGGTCCACTGGCAGATAACAGTGGCTTGCTGGATGAAGGCTTACTTGCTAATGGACCTGAGAAAGCAAGTCTTCTCATCTTTCTGGCATCAATTCCATTTTGTATATCATTTTGTGGGAGAGAAGTTCCCTCAGCAAGAGGCGGGGGTAGTGGGGTGGAGAAAGTATGATCTTTAATCTCTTGAGCAGTGGATTGGCCTTTTGCAAGAGTGTCTGTTGACAAGTTGTCATCTGAAAATTTAGAGTATTTATCCATATTAAGCGGGGAAGAATGCCACGGATTGTTGCTGCCTCCACTCGTATTCATGGTACTTGAGTGTTGAAGGGAAACACTTGTCCTTGAAGTCAAACTTTTAGCATCGGCTGGAGTCGGTAAGGCGTATGTGTGAAATTTCCGGGCAGATGTCTGTGCTTGTTTGATCCTATCAGAAATATCTGATTTCTCTGCAAATATTGGAGCAGAATGACTGACTACACGTGGTTGTCTAGTAAAAACCTGCTCCTGGTTTCTGCCCAAATCCAACTGCAAGAAAATGTCTTTCAAAATAAATAAGCAACATCTCACAAGTTGACAATAAGAAGCATACAAAAGACCCAACAAATCTGAGCATCCAACTGAAAATCTCAAGGCAACGTGTGGAGTAGCTCAAACCCTTAATAAACCCCTTTGAAAGTCCCTTATACAAGCCATATGGGGAAAATATATAGCTAACATAATGTTCACCAAATACTAGATACAGCCACAGGAGTAGAACTTTACCTCCACTTCCTCCATCCCAGAGGTTAGGGTACTTGGAGCATCAGCGGGATCAAACTGCCAAAATATGGTATATTAGACCAAAATCCAAAATTTGGCAAACTAAGCAAGTCATCATCTAAGATCAGATTTTGATAATGCATATAATATCACTATAGATCATAACTGTCATTCTCTTCCCAGGTGTGTCTCTTTAAATATAGAGACACGGGCGGACAAATTAGATGTGCATTGAATGAGTACAAAAAATTGATCTAGGGATGTAATGACACTGAAGGACAATTGCAGTAATAAGAAGACTTATACTTAAAGCTGATTTTAGTAGTTGTGAGATCGGAATCAGTTTGTGTAGAAATGTGTTGACTGGGATTAGGAAACCAAAAGATTATTTTTGTGCTGCTTGAAAACTAGCACCTCATCACTTTACCAAATATACCAAAAATAATTGGATGTAGCAAGTGAACTAGAAATATAGTAGGGATCAGCCAGTTTTATTGTGGTTATTACAAGCTAACGGCAGGGAAACAGCATTTAACAATACGCCAAGAATAATTGGATGTAGCGCATGAACTAGAAACATATTAGTGATCAGCCAGTTCGATTGTGGTTCTTAAGCTAACGGCAGGGAAACAGCATTTGAGAATTGACATGCTACCAAAAGATTTAACAATCAAGCCAGTAGGCAGCTCACAATCTTCCGCAAAGGGAAAGATGCATGACAGCAATATGATTACCTACCTCCATTGAATCCCTCATTGGGAAAGAGTCATTTGGTTCCTGCTTATTTTTTCTATAATCAAAACTCAATTCACCATCATCATTGGCCTCATAGCTCTTGCCTCCATCCTCGCTATCATCCAATTCAACAGGTTGATAGTCAATGTGTTGGTTTTCAGCAACCATCCTTATTTGTGGTTCAACAGATTCAAGAGATTTAAGTCCTTTGCGGAAGAAATTAAGCTGTTCCAGAAAAAGAGAAATTACGCAGACAAGTAAGTACCCGATTCAAGAAAAAGATTGATAACCATTAATGAATAAATAAACTTATGAAATGCACAAGGACACCTGTGCTCCATGGTGACGAGCTGCCTGGGTCAAAAGGCTCCGACATTGCCCTTGCTTCAGAGATTGTACACGGAAAATGCAAAGTCTTGCCATTTCCTCATAGTCCTCCCGGGCTGCCTGTAACTGCTGAGAAGTAAAGTTCTCACCTTTTCCACCTTTTCCTCTATTTGCCATATACTCGTACACCTCCCTGCAGATCATGCCTGATGTTAGCAAGACTTGATTGAAATTTTATTTTTAAAAAAGGATTTTTGTATCATGTCAAAAAGACACATGGCGAGGGATACCTTTTTTCATCACACTGCAGTTTCATCTCCTGCATCAAGGAAGAGGATACATCCGACTGAGTAATGAGGAAACAATGCAAAAATCCTTACATATATGTGTTCTATAATTAGCCTTCAAAGGTACATCAGTATGGCAGTTGATTCAAATTAATAGATTTGTTTGGGATCAATAAAATTGTTTCTGCTCATCTGAGTTAATTCAATTAATCAGTCATAGGACACCAGAACCTGGCAAATTTACACTATGTCAATCAGTCAATGGCAATAGGCCACTGCAGCTAATATGTGGACTGGGGAGGGATGAAATCTTGGCCAAAGAAGACCACTAAATGACTGGAAGATCTATTTAGATGTTCACAGAAGTTTTACTGAGGATAATGATGTGATAATATGGCAGGAAGACAGCATAGGTGACTTCTCAGTCAAGTCTACTTATACAGCCCTACGGCCCTTAACAGGACAAGGGGACAGGAGAAAGAATGGCCATGGGAGATGATATGGAAACCTAAGGTACCTTACAAAGTGAAATGTTTCACTTGGTTTTTGGCAAAACAAGCTGTTCTAACACATGAGAACCTGAACAAGAGAGGCCATCAGTTAGCTTCTAGGCGTTACTTGTGTGGAGATCAAGCTGAGACAATCAGCTATATTTTCTTACATTGTAAATGGACAGAACAACAATGAAGAACGTTCACTAGCCTGAAGGGGATCAGGTGGGTGAAACCAGGATGCAATAGAAGAGTACTTAGTAGCTGGATCAGATATGGGAAAGTTACAAAGAAGGAGGGGAGATGGAAGATTGTCCCAGCATGCATTTGGTGGTCAATCTGGAAGGAGAGAAACAATAGGAGATTTAAAGATGTGCAGAACAGTCTACAGGATGTCAAAAAGAAGTGTTTAGCTCTATTTTACTTCTGGTGTAAACATGGTTTATTAGCTCAAACTGAAGACATCTTTGAAATTCTAGATTGTTTATAGGTAACACAAATAGACTTAAGCTTTTGATAGAATGTAATACTTTTGAAGGGGAACTACACTTTTGGTTGTATTATACCTGTGGATAAATAGAGTATGTTACCAGTTCCAAAATAAAAAGTAATGCCTAGCTATAAAAGTCGATGTTTAATAGGATTAGCAAAAACGACTTTGATTAAAGCAACCAAATTAATGAGAAAAAGAAATATATAAGTTAATTGAAACCCAACCAACCAAGCACTCTACATATATGGGACTGTTGGTGTAAAAACATCATCGATAATTTCAAACTCTACCAGATAGCTAAGAGGCCACAGTAGTGATGCATCTATTAGAAACTCCAACCCCACCCAATTAAGACTTTATTACAGCCCTTATTGTGGGAGACACAGAAGAATATCAAGTAACAACTTAACATAAGCTAAAGTTGTACCTGGGTCAAAAGCATTAGGAGTTCATCAAATTTCTCACAACTTGGGACAATAACAACAATGAAAAGGAAAGAAACATCATCAACCAATATAACTTTCAAAAGTTACAACCAGTTAAAGAGAAACAACTATAGAGAGGACCAAAGAATTAGCATGGCTTATAATTAAATAGTTTCTGAATTATAATTAAAAGTGTGATCATTGAAAATATAGTCCATAAATAGCAGGACTGGAACAGTTAATAACTACTCCCTCCGTTTCAATTTGTATGTCTAATTTTGACTTGACACAACGTTTAAGTAAATAAAATTTAGAATCTTGTGGTCTTAAATCAAAGATGTGTAAATGTACCAAATGTCCTTTTAACTTTGTGGTCTTAAAGATGTCATGTGGAAAGTTGAAATTAAAGAGTTGTCAAAAAAGGAAAGAGACTTTCTTTTTGAAATGGGCTAAAAATGAAAAATAAGACAAACAAATTGAAACAAAAGAATGAGGAAACTTGAACTTATCAAAAGGATCTAGAGATAATCAACAGAATCACAAAAGAACAAACCTCCACTTTCCGAAGTTCACTAAGAAGAGACTCAGATGGGTTTGTGATAGTTAGGATGATATGGGAACGCTGCAATACAGAAGGCAAAGGTCATAACCACATTCACTTAAATTTGGTAGATAAATTATTAACGAAAAAAAGAACAGGCACTGACATAGCAGTCTACGAATTTCTGAAGTTCTAATTGTACTCCTCCAAGCATCGACATTGCCTTGCCTGCATATAGATAGTATTTTACAAAGAAAAAAATCACAAAACAGAATGTGGAATGATAGGCAAGTCCATTTTTAAACAGTAGATTACATATTTTTTAGCAGCAAAACGCACGTATCAAAAAAAAGTCACAGAAAAAAAAAGAAAACTAAGGAAACAGGAAGAAAACAAAAAATGGATAGAAAAAAGATGTTATACATGTGTACTCGTCAAAAAATAGATCTTATGTGCGTGCAATCAAATTTTCAAGAAGAGAACAATAAGTACATATATCATAAATTAACTACATCTATTACCATTTGGTACTATTATATTCTTTTTCATTTCTAAATTAGTTACACTGTTGGTGAGCTTCGGAGAACACAAAGATCAGAGGGAAATTAGCGTTTCTTACAGTTCCTAATATAATTTGAACTGATGAGGAGATTGTGATCAGGTTGACAAGCTGAGACACAGTGGCGTAGCCAAAAAATAATTTTTTTTGGTAATATATATGATTTGGATTCTAGTGTAATGGTAAGGGTGATTCAAATATTGTCTTAGAACACCAATTCAAGTCCAAGGTATGACATTCTAGTCTTTTTTTTAATCTCATATGACTTTCTAGCTCTGCCGCTGCTGAGACCCCAAATAAAAAGCTCTGAACCAGTAAAAGATAGAGCTTCTGCAAGGCAAATGTATAACAGCGTGAAAAGTATGACATTCCCTCCGGAAATACCAAGGGCAAACCAATAGTTCTTTTCAAACTGAAAAGTTCTAAGGGTTAACTAAAACTGGTGTCTTGACTTTTTTTCCAAGTTCTAAGGAATTAATTAGAACTGGAAACATCTAAGTATACATTACGCAAAGATGTTAATGATCAAATAAGCTTTGCATGGAACTGGATGTCAATGATCAAATAAGCTTTGCACGGAACTGCTTGTTAAGCTGATAACTTTATATGAACAGAATAAATGATCTCCGACAGAAGCTAATAATGAAAATCACTATAGAAAGGAGACCTAAACATTGGTTAACTTACGATTTTCTCCATCACCATTCAATGCAATTTTCTCCAGTAAGCAGGTTCCCATTTCCATCAAGGATTCTGAAAATTCTGAAAAAGGAAATGAGCAAAGTGATGATCCGTTTGATGAGCTGAATATGGGGATTTTTTTTGTGAAGTAAATCCTGGAATTTCATTTCTGGATTCTGTTACAGAATGTAAATAAAGCAATCTTTCGCTTGTTGTTATGAAACAAACAACTGATAAATCTCTTTTGAGAAATAGGAAGTAAGTATTAAAGTTAGAGTGAAGATGAATAACATTGGTAATACCATAGGCACTATTAGCCGCAGCTGCTGCTGCAGATAGCAAGCTGTCATAACAATCTCTCATGTCTTTCATATCCTGCAAAGGAAATGAATAGAGGAGTGATGAATCAGATTTGTAACAGGGGGGAAATGGATACGGGTCGGGTAAAATAGCAGAGGAATCGGAAACCCTAATAGTGAAGGAAGGGTACCTGTGATGCCTGAGAAAGTCCGTCCAAATGCAACAATATCTGATGATCCTTCTTATCCTTGTGTAGTGCAAATTTCTTGAGCTTTCCGAAAGACGACTTCATCATTAATTTACTGCCTCTCTCTTTTCAGATTTACTATTGATCTGTCTCTACCTCACACCTAATCTCACACACTGTGTGTTAATAAATGATTTAGACAGAAGTGCAGTATGCCGGAGACCGGAGAAAGTAATAACTCTTAAGAATTGAAATAAGTTGCAGAGAGGGGTGGGAAGGAGGAGCTTATTAGTTTTACCAAGAAAATTCTAATGTCATGCGCCCAAGTCAGAATGGCAACTGCCTCTCTACTTTGACCCATTTTCTTAATCCACAATAACACTAGCTTAATTACTTTACCCATCTATTTTCCCCTATTCAACAATAATAATATTATTGAAAAAAATTGCAAACATTTAAACAATATTAATGGATGAACGAAAATATTTGTACGGACATTTTAAAAAATTTATCCATTTTGAAATTCAAATTTTAAAATAGACATTTTAATAAAATATCGATCTAAAAGTAAAATTTAAATTTAAAAAAATAGTTCAAATATGAATAATTAAATTAAGTGCAAAATAATGTGAGGCTTGAGTGATCTACTACCTCTCAGCTCAACTCATCTACCTAGGTATTTCTATTTTGTGATTATGTTTTTTCAATTGGTAGATACTTTCGCTTGCCAAAAGTTTCACATTCAAACTGTTGAATATAGTAACAACAAAGTAATAGATGAGATCACTATTTCTCTTTTTTTTTTAAAAAAAAGACGTGCGAATGAAATTGTACTTTTTTAATCAGAAATTTTGAATTTGAATCTTAAATAGAAGTGTAAATTAGGTATATAGCATATTCTCAAGTTATATCATAAGATTTTGATTTTCATTTTATAACATTTAATATATCAACTTATAGCATTTATTTAAATTAAAATATTGTTAATATTTATTCTGTAAAATTAGGATGAAAAATAAAATAAAAAAATGATTAATTAAAATTGGATAATTTCCGTGAATGTAGTTAATGTTTTTTAACTGCTAACAAAATGTGCACCTTTTAAGGGATTTTAAAATATATTAATTATAGATATGCACCTTAATTATCTCAATCCATTTTTAATGATAATTAGTTTTGATTTTTTATCCTTAAAAAATTATATTCTGTTATCTTCTTTCCATAAACGTGTATCATTTTTTTTCCAGAAATTTAAGTATATTCATATATTCGAATTCTGTCATATTTTATCTTTTTTTTTTTTGGAAAACAATTAAAATTGAAGGTTGAAAAAGTTTAGATTTGATTTGATGGAGAAATTTATGTCAGTTTTAATTAAACATGGTGGCAAATGAAATTCATCAGGTTAGTTTTTTCTAATATTTTATTAATGTGTCGTATTTTTTTCCCATGTTATATTGCATATGTTCAATTGATATTTTTTTTTTGTGATACATTTATTCAGTGTTTCCACTAATAAATATTTCCTAATATTAAATGTATTTTCATGTGTAATTAAAACGAAGAATGATGTTAAATGTGATTACTGGTTAAAATTAAAAAGTTTGCAGTTTTTTTATCAATTTGCAAATTTTTTGTTTTGAAACAGTAGAACAATATCTGACATTTTGTATTAATAATGTATACATTTTGTATTTTAATGTATATAAATAGTGTATGAACAATATATACGAAAGTCAATTTTTATAGTAGTACGTAGATGTTATTGATTTGTAATATATATATGAATTCTGTATAAATTTTGAATTAACTGTATATTATTATTTTTTATTAAATTGGATAAATTGAGTATGAAAGTGTATTTTAGTTTGTATGTAGTAGTTAATTGTGAAGTATGCAGTATGTATAAAAATTGTTTTAATTTGGTATTAATTTAAAATTTTATTATTGCATATATATGTGACTTGTATATAAATTGTGTATGATTTGTGTATTGATTTTGTATAAAATGGTATTAAGTGTGTAATAAATAATGTATTAATTGTGTATTAAATTAAAATAGTGTATAAACAGTGTAGTAATTGTGTATTAAATTGTGTATGAAGTGTGTATTATTTTTGTACGAAGTGTATGAAGTGTGTGTTAAACAGTGACTTGTATATAAATTGTGTATGAAGTGTGTATTAATTATGTATGAATAAATTTATAATTTTATTATGGGATGCACTGAATGTAATTTTAATTCAGAGGTGGATTCACAAGCATAATGAAGAGGCTGATAAGACTACATCTAATCTGACAAAAAAATATGATATTTATCTATAGAAAAGTATTACGTTGTCGTGCAATATGAGGGTATGTGTTTCACTGTATTGTATTTTTAATTCATACTAATCTGCAATATGTATAATTTTTTTTCCGCAGGTGATACCTTCAACTGTTGATCTGCATGCTGTAGCTAAGAAATCAAAGAAATACATAGTAAATTTGAACACAGGGATATGTAGTTGCGAAAGATTTCAACATTATGAGATACCGTGTAGCCATGTACATGAAGCAGATTTCTGTTTTGCTTTTTATAGCCTCAAGAATTTCAAAGATGCTTCTGTCATTCCTGTCGAGCCTATCCCGTGCGAGAGTACATGGGATATACCAAGTTATATTTCAGATCCTAAATTGATGTCGCCTGGTCCAAAAAGAGCAGCAGGAAGACCCAAACTTGAACGGTGGAAGGGGTTCGTAGATGTGAAATTCGAGAGGACAAAAAGCACATGCAGTAGATGCCATCAGGTTGGACACAATAGGAAGACTTGTTCAAATTATCCTGTACAAAAACAATGATGTCGTACTGTTAAATCTGTGTTTTTGAGGGTTTACATTGTTATAAAATGTTTTTTATTGAATAAAATTACTTTTCATACAAATGTCATAAATTGTATATACAACTGTTCATATATTAACAAATTTTAACAATAATAATTCATATAATCATATAACATTTATTCAGTTATTGCATTCATAATGGGGACTACATACAAAATTTATACATTTATACAAATTCAATACTTGCATATAAAAAAATAATGTATGTTTATGTTATACATATTAAATTATAATATGTTATAATTCATACGGTTTTCATACATTATTCATACAAGTAATAAACATACAATTTGTTTCTGTTTGTATTTTGAAATATATATTTTTTCAAAATACAAACAGAAACAAATTGTATGTATATTACTGGTATGAATAATGTATGCAAGAAGGTGATACACATTTATTAATGTATAACTGTATGATATAATTCATACATTTTTCATACATAATTTATACCAGTAATATAATTAATATTTGTTTCTGTTTGTATTTGAAAGTGTATAGTATTCATGCAAAACAAATTTATGGAATAATTTAACATTACTATGTACTATATATCAAATTTTAATATGACATTCATAATTCATATAATTTTCATACATGATTCATTCAGTGTTCATATATGTTAAAGTGAGACACATTTAGTAATAATCATTAATAATTTATATAAAACCATCAGTAGTCATAATAAAAAAATTGAAAAAATACATAAATTGTTCATAAGTTTTAAAAAAAACAATTCATTCAAAAAATGTATATTGTGCCATGAAGATTTCTACTTCCTGATACGAAATTTTGGAGTAGGATAATTGGTGGTGTCCATAATTTGTTCTTTTTGAGTTCGAGGTCCACCCTTCTTGCTAACAACTGTGCCTGTAACTTCACTTTCACTGATTGCGTCTTCATCATTTTTTGATTTTTCATAATTCCAAAGTAATGTAGCATATCTTTGACGATGATATTTTGAATCAATATCAATATGTGATATATCAAAAACACCATTGCTCATGTATTTGGCGAAAAGAGATGTGTATAAACCACAATCACTGTATATAAATTGAAAAAAAAATTGTATAAAAAAACTTGATACAAAAAAATTTATACACAATTCATACACATTTTATATATACAGTGAATCATACATAATTCATACAGTGAATCATACATAAAAAAATACATGTTTGAGCAATTGATATTGTAATATGAAGAAATCTGTAATTTCATACAGTGAATCCTACACAATTTATACATTATTTATATACACAAAAAATATATATTAACTATTTTATACCAAAATAACAGAAAATAAAAATAACAGAACATAAAAAAGTTTTAAAAAATTAACTTTTACTAATCTTTGAACTTTTTTTGGGTTCAACTGTTTTTTCTTCTTCTTGTAAATGTGAAGTATCGATTTCAGAGGCTCTTGGTTTTTTGGATTTTGATTTTATCAACTCTTCTACGAAATCAGATTCAGAATCTGATGCGTCCTCGATTTCTTTTCCTTTCCTCTTCTTTCCTCTTTCTTTCGTCCTTTTCTCAGATTCATCTACTTTTTTCTTTTCTTTCCCTTTTCCCTTCTTCTCGTTTTCCTTTGGATGTTTTTTTATTTTTTTTTTCTATTTTTGATTTCCCTAATCTAGATTTAACTTTAACAGATGAAGGTTGAGATTGCGTTTGTGATAAAATTTTGAAAGATGGAGCATGAAAATCGTCTGAACTTGCTTCATCATTCAATCTTCTACTTTTTCTCGGTGTTTCATTGCCTCTTTTCGACATTGTACGGTTTGTTTAGCGCAAGAGTTGAAGATTTGAGTGCTAAAAATGAAGATTTGAATGCAAATATTTGAGAATTCTTGAAGAAGACTGTTAAGAGAGAAGCGATTTTAAGCGAAATTTTGGTGAAAATAAAAATTTAGGTGTGCGAAATTTGGTGAATAATTTTGATAGGCGTGCAAAGTTAATGATTTTGAAAGGATTTGGGTAAGAACAAAAATTTGGGGAATATAATTATTTTTTTTTAGATAACGTTTTACAGTTTTAAAAATAAAACTGTAATTGTTTTAGATATTGATAAAATCCCTATTTTGTAGTTATCTTAAAAAAGGTAACTATGTAATATTTAATTTAAATTACATTAATTAAGAGTTTTGTTTAAAAAAGATAACTTAAAATAATAAATTTAATTAACTACATTGGTTTAAATAAGGTAATTGAATAATAAATGTAATTATTTAAATAAGTTAATTATTATTTTAAAAAATTAATGAGAATAATATATTTTTTCTTGATATGCTATAACTTGATAATAATATGCTATAAGTAGTTTATTATTAAAAAGTTTGTTTATAACTTGATATTTAATATCTTAAATGTGTGTAGTGTTATTTTTATTAAATAATAGAATGATAGGAAGTGCTTCTCCTTAGATGGGATCTTTTAGGATGTAAATTTAAAGTATTCATATTCGAATAGAATGTTGCACAACAAATAAAAGACATAAAAAAAAAACATTCTACAATATAGCATGAAAAGGTTAATCAAAATATGAATATAACATGATTCACAAGTAAATAAATGTGGTAACTAATTTATAAACGAAATCCATGGCGTGAGACAAAGAGCATAACATATTTGATGTAATTTTAGGAGTGAAATTTAGGATGGCAAAATATAGGTAGAAGAATAGTTAAGAGTTTGGATCCAAACATGAAAGGAAAAGGAAAATGGTGTGGGTTCAAGAATGAGTGAATTTGCAGGCTCAATGGCTTAATATGAAGGAAATCGATATCAACAAGACATGATTTGGGCCCGCGCTTATTTCATAGGGAAAAATTGTATATAATAGCAATTATTTAAATCAAAATAAATTTTATAGCTACTATTTAATTTATTTGTATTGCACAACAAATGTTGCACATATTTTGTCAATTTGATTGGGACCCACACATCTAAAAAAAAAGCGGAAGATTTATTTTATACAAATCCATTTCCTGTCTTCTCTTTTTTATTTTCTTTCAATTTTTTCTAAAATCTCTCCCCAAATCAATTTTTTTCAATTGATTGGGGCCCATGCTCTATTTTTATGCAAATTCATTAATTATTTTTACTCTCCCAATTTCTTTCAATTTCTCCTAAAATCTCTCTCCAAATAGAATTTGGTTTAAAAATTATATATAATTTCCACTGATATAAATTTTAATTATACACAATTTTTTAAAATTATAATGTACTATTCCACTAATACATTAATAGTTATTGTATTAGTAGCGTCACAATAGTTTCTCTGTATATACAATATAAACATTTGCATTTGATACAATTTTATGCATTGTTTTTTTAACAAGGATACTTTTTGTATAATGATCATTTAGACATACAATTGCACAAACTTATACACATAAGTAAATTGAAATATGTTTGTATAATGTATATACACAGAATCATACATTCAAACTAAGGACGAATCTTCACTGTATAAATAAACAAATTTGAAAAAATAGATAACAATTTCATATACTTATTCAACTCAGAACAACACCAATAGATATATGTATATAAACTACAACGAGTTCTATTTTTCATTTATTTACATATTCTCAATATACACTTATATAAACCATTTCTTTTGTCTTTCTCTCTTTTTCGTTTTATACAAATTCAAATTGTATATAATTTTTCTCTTTCTCGTTTTATACAATTCGTTTCAATTGTATATGTATAACGAATTATACACATATATGTTTGCTATGGAGCGAAATTATGCAAACTTTGTTATAGCATATAAATAGAAATTTTGCCCTATTTCTTATGAGTCTCATAGCCTTGACAAGTACTGGACCAAAACATACATACATCCTAATCCATCAAAGTCCAACAAGAAACAACGACTTCTCTGGTATTTTGAAATGAATTAATATACAACATGTATATTGGAGTTTACCTATTAGATATTCTGCTATCATTATCTGTCGAAATAAAAATACTTTAATTTGTTTTAACTTGATATTGAGTTTCAAGAAAGTAAGGAAAACTTTTAAATTAAAGATATGTAAAGTGCATCAAGATATTCTTTAATCTTGTGGTCTTAAATGTACTGGGCGAAAAGTTGCAATCAAAAGGGAAGTAAGACGGAATAAATGAAATGGAAAGAATATTGTATTTGAGGAACATGTCTATCACTCTGTGTGGAGAGTCGATAACACAAGGTGATGATAATTGTATCTAATTGCTTTGGCTTCAAAACGTTGTAATATATTTTTAAGCAATTAGGAATTGAAGATTGGAACTTTTAAATATAGAATTGGGAACTGAAGACTAATGGTTATTGTTTAATTAATATTCACTGTCATAAATGAATCCCCTCTACTTGAGATTAATACGTTACTTGCTTTGCTTTCTCTCGAAAGGTCATGTCAATTTTAACTATGATTCACAGCCACAGGTACATTTGGTAACTAATGTGGGTTGGACTGTTTAATAACCAACCTAATTGAAGTGAGTTGATGTTGCTAAAATTCCAAGACAATTCATAAAATATTTTGATATGATTACAGAGAGGGTGCAAATACAATGAAAATCTACATTTCTACACGCTTTGCTATCTACAATCATTTTATGAATTGTTATTGTTGTATCAGTTCGGGGATAAGTTTGAGCAGAAAAGACAATTCCCTCTGTGAAAATTGAGGTCTATTTTGAACCTTTTCCTCCCCTTCCAGCAATATCTCATCTGGCTTCTTCACCAGCTTACACACAGCATCTGTTACTTGTTCAACAAAATCCACTATCACTCCATCAATTCCCATCAGGTGTTGCATATACACAGCTTCAGGCACATTACTGAACGTATAATAAATAAATAAATGGTTAGTTCGTTAGTTCGTTAGTGTCCAACTGAATCAATACTCTACTTACTTCAATTTGCCGTATGTCAGCAGAGACAGCTTGGACTCTTTGATCTTGTTAACTACTCCTGGATTCCTGAAGATGCCTTTCACCTCCGAAACAATACCTTCCAAACCACCCTCTAAGCACAGTTTAGTGGCCTCTTCCAACGAGTTTCTTCGAACATCATAGTAAATCTCTGTACCTCCATTTGTGAGAAAAAACACCTACACAGTGCCAAAAGGTAAGTATGTCAGATCGAATTCACTTGTGTTTAAGATAGATTCCAAAATGGAAACGTACGTACAGGGTAACATGTCTGGAGCTTCTTGACAAGCAGAGCAGCATCAGGCTGGAAACTTGAGAATATGATTGGTCTGCCTTTAGCATACTCTAATACGACATGTAACACTGCTTTAAGAGCATGGATGAGGTAGTCCTGTTGATAAACAATGTGATCATCAAATTTGAGCTCGATGTTGAAACCAATAGATGGATTCACTTTCTCAAAAGCTTCTTTTAAGGTACATGCGGAATCATCGGTTTCAACTGTCCAGCTAACAATCTTTCCATCTTTCGTTTTCCTCATTAAAGGTTTTCCAGTGAGACCCTCTTCTTTTTGGGGTCCATAGCTAAGAAATTCAGCAAGTGACAATTCAGTAATTCTCCTTTCATAAACTGTACCCTGCACACGCACCATGAGAATGAGATTTTATTTGATTAGAAGAGAAAGGGGTTATTGGATATTAAAAGAGCTTACATTATTATGTTGAGTGAGGATGAAATCGTCGTGAAAAATAACAGGGCAATCATCCTTTGTCACCTACAAACAAAAAATGACATTTACTTTGGTAATCTAAAGGTAGAATCCATCTTCAGAGAGATACTGGGCCAAGATCTAGGGTTTAAGGTTTTTCTGTTAATATTTTTAAATCGGGTCGGGTCGGGTCGATTTTTTTTTTGGGCGGGGGGAATAGAAAGAAAAAAGGAAATACGCGGAAAATAGAAAATTACCTGAACGTCAAATTCAATAAAATCGATTGGGTAATTGGCAGCTGCATTGAAAGAAAGAATGGAATTTTCTTTGAGGGCATTCATTCTCCGGTCAGCCGATTGCAACAAATTCATCCCGTTCCCTCTGTGTCCAACAACTAAAAATTCGGATGCTCTTCCAATTTCAATGCCTGCAAAGCAAAATAAGAGATTATGTATGTATTGTCTAGAAAGAAAGAGAATAAATGAGTATAGAAATTAAAGACAAAGGAAACCTTGAGAGAATCGGGTGGCATATAGAGGAGCTTTGTCAGGGACTTGATCTAGATTGGGAACATCGGAAACATGAACAGCTGTAAGAGCCATTGTTGTTGTATTGTTATATATATATATACTACTAGTATATATATTATATATATGAGAAGAAGAGAAGAGAAGAGAAAACGGGATGATTGGATTGGATTGGATGCAACAACAAGTAAGAAAAGAATGGTATTTATGGGAGGTTAGAGGGGATCAGGAATATTCTCAATCCGTAATCGGTGTTATGCTTTTGGATATTCCTCTCTCCCTCCCCACGTACATCAGACGCGTCCTCCTCTTTACTCCTTTATTTTAATTAATAATTAATACATCACATTATAGATTCCTTCTAAAATCTCAACTCTCTTATTATATATATTTTTTTTTTCAAATTTAACTTCATGCTGCAATAATTCGACTTGCAAAAGTACGAAATTTCCCTTCAGTAACCATATTCGCTCCCCTTAATCGTCGTTACTTTTTAAAAGTTGATTTCGATATTGCATTTGTAAGGAAGAATATGCTAAATATATACCACATGATGCTATTCTGAAAAGGATATCTATAGACCATAATTTTTACTTTTTTTCTTTTACAATTTACTATTGGGTCAACTTTAAAAAGATTTTTTCTTCTTACATGTGGTAAGTTTTTCAATTACTAACACAAGTTTAAAAATAAAAATTTTGATTTTCCTTTTTTTTTAAAAAAATAAAAAAAAATGTAATAGTCAGCTTACAGCTAATTGGTTTCCTTCGAGATTTGTGCGAGTAGTAGGTATATAAAACGTGCAATGATTCACTCATATTACAAGCAGTTATCTAGATGATATTTAATTTGTTTTCAACTTGGTAAAAAGATTAACTATTAGTCATGATTGATGAACTGATTTTAATAAATTGAAATTGGTGTATGAAACATGTGTTCCCTTGAATATAAATTTGATGATGAGAAACATAATTTGTAATTAATATTGCAATAGGCAAGGTGATATATTATTAATAAAAGAAGATGATGTGTAGCCACGAGATGCTGACATGTTATGGATAACGTTCTGAACGAAGAGTATTTTGGAAGTTGTACACATCTATTTATTGCAAAATTTTGCTGACCACTATTCTCCCTTTATTTATTAAAAAAACCTTAGCTGGATCCATCCACTACTCTTATTAATTCCGTTCCATATTCTTATAAAAAATAATTGTCTCCATTATTTTATTAAAATAAATAATAGAATTTGTCATATATTACTTTTGCAATTATTTCTTGAAATATATTTATATTTATTTGTAAAAAAATTTAAAAATTTTATTCTTTTATTTATAATTTTTTGAGCGCCATGTAAAATGAAAAGTGCAACAGAGTGTAATAAGAAAAAATATGGCAACTTGGAATATTTTTAGATGTCGTATTACTTTTATTTTTATGTACTTATTAATGATTATTTAAGACAAATCATGACTGGTAATTTTTTTCTCCATCAATCTGATTTACATAATTTGCTTAAAGTTGGAAAGATTATGTTTTTCTTAATTAAATTAATTTTAGACCCCCCAACCTAGCGTAGATACATGTGTTTTGAAAAATAAGTAGATTTTAAATTTATTTTTTCATGTTTGGTAGGTGAGTAGAAAATATTTTCGTGTGTTTGATTTATGAATGAAATTAATATTTTAGGGGGTTGGGGGAGGGATTGGGTAAACACATAAAATTTTAAAATTGAAAATATTCTTTTAAAATTGATGTCTTTCGAAAAAAAAAATGCAATTTGAAATTGGAGTAGAATTTTGAAAAATGTTTTCCTTAATTTTTGAAGAGAAGTCATTTTCCTTAATTTCGAGGAAAATGAGTTGATTTGAAAAACATTTTACAAAACTTTTATATCAACCAAATATGAGAAAATTGGAAAACATTTTCGAGAAAATATTTTCCTTCGTACCAACTCACTCTTAATATATACAAAATATTTTGCACACGCGGAACATTAATATTATTTGAAATTTTTTAATATATACAAAATATTAATATATATAAAACATTAATATTTTAATTTTAATTTACCTAACCTATTTGCAAAAGTTGGTGGAAACTATTCTCCCTCATTTTTTAGTGACGATGTTTTATATTTACCCATGACTATATTATTTGAAACTTTTTAATTTTTCTTTTCTCCATAAAAAGTGGTAATTGATGGTTGTGATGTATTATTTTTATATGTCGTAATGTATTGTTTTAATGAATATAATATCTGAATCAATTGTATTGTTCTCAGACATTCATAATTTGAATAATAAATCTACAATTGTAAGAAGGAGACCATCTAGGGTTAATCTTGAGGGCATGATATCTCATCTGAAGTATTAAATGAAACCACACACACATTTGATAAGAAACCATTTACAAATGCCAACGTTCTCTACCCATCAACAGAAAGACTTCTCAAGAAGGGTCATACTATTTCCTTTTTTTAATTTAATGGATCCTAAAGGATGGAAAGTTGAGGAGTCCCTTAGGCTTAACTTGTGCTGACACGAGGGAGATGTTGGTAACAACTATGGTGGAGCAAGTTTGGTTGGCTCATGGCTGTGATCGAAAGGAAAAATATTATGAATGCTTGTTTGTTCCAGGAAAAGAACCTATGGTTGAAGAAATATAATTGGACTACCTTTTTAGTTGGTGTTATCATATTATAAAAGAATTCCTTCGAGCCATATATACTATTGTGGGTGGTTACACGGGACTTGTGTATTTTCTCTATTTTTACTCAAATCCACCCCTTACTGTGATTCAGCAAAAACCCAGATTCTTACTTGTAAAATAACAACTGTTACAACGTACTATATATATTATATGGGACTCTTGCCCACATTGTTTAAGCACAAAGAATAAATGCACCGCCTAGCATGAACAGAGCAAAACTAATGTATTACACTAACTAATCCACACATACAATACAAGTTTTAGGAATTAAAACCACCCCTCATATCACACACTTCCTAAAGCCAACATCTGATAATACACGACACTGAATGACCACATACCATACACCTCCAAGAACCACTAATCTATTCAATCCAGTTTTCATACTATCTGTTAATCACAACTTTTTTTGATCTGTTGGTCTGCTACTCCCACCTGTTCGATTAGCTTCTCCCACTCTTGATGCCAAAGCAAGAACTTCAGGTGACATCTCCCAGCTTCCACTTTTCCTTCCCCAGCTTGATCCTCTAGGATGTATTCCTGCACGATCACTCTCATCTACTGTACTTCTTATCTCAGGAGACATTTGCCCTAACATGCCATCTTTAATGTTCAGGCCATCATTGTCGCTAAGTTGTCCTTCGTTATCCCCTACTTCACTCCAAACCGCTTTCCTGCCCATTTCTATGTCCTCCACAGCCTTCCCCATGTTTGGACTCACAAAACCCCCACCTGCAGATCGAGTTGCCACCTTGGGTTCCCTGGGCACCTTTGCACGGAAATTGTTCTTGGATGGAGGAATACTAGTACAAAATATCTCCTTGAAATTCTGCATCACTCCTCTGTTGTAGGGATTGGCACGCCAATCATATCGGTATCTAAAATTCTCATAAGTAGTCTGCAGTACCCAAAAAATAGACGTCACTCCCAGTTCACATCAAAATCCAAACCACCTCAGATAGACAAAGGGAAAAACAAAATTACAATCCACGAACATACCTGATTAGTACTGATGAGGTATAGATGAAAAGCAGTAAGACCTCCAACAAACCATACTGATATAAAAGTGTATGCTATTAGAACAATGGAAGCCGGTGTTTTGATCATTGCTTTCCATATGGTGGTGTCATCTAGAACCATGATTCTCTTAATATAGACCCAGCAGAACCCAAAAACATATATGCAAAGAAGTGTTGTAGAGAAGACAAACATAAAGAAAAAACGGTAGTTTCGCTGCAATAAAAAGACACAAGTTTCAGAAATCTGTGCAACATAAGGAAAGAGTCCAAGACATCAACACTAGATGATCCGTTTTAAAAGATGCATTTGTTACAGAAATTATCAGCGCAAGCAAAGACTATAGATATTTCTGAAATCAAAGGTGGACGTGACATTAACAGGTAAATTGACCAGCCTGACTTCATAACTTCAAAAATCTGAGAATCACGACAGCAAGTACTGTACGCAAGGACAAAAAGATTTCAGCTGAAATGTGAGAACTTAAGCATGTGGATATGTGTACTAAACCCTCTAACTTTAGTTCCACTGCAAAGATCTAGAGTGCTAAATATTTCTAAAACATATAATTGTCTTCATGATGGCCATTTGAACTAAATGCTCAAGTTACAAACCTTTTAAACTTCCTCCTGCTGCCAACAGCATCAATAGTTAAAAGAGTCTGATTCATAAATTAGTATTAACGGTTTTACATAATTATAAACTTTGAGAGCTAGATTTCAAGATGCTTTGAGGATCTAATACTTCAGATCCACAGCATTGCTTCATTAAGACAACAATTTTTCTTTAGACATTTTATGTAACTTGCTTGTTTTCGCGAATTAACATTAGAGTGAATAGGTAAATTTTTTAAAAAGATAACAAAGAAAGAATCGGTCTTACCTATTTTATTCGTTTTTACAAGTAAAAGAATCAGTCTTTTGTTAAGTCTCTTTTTATGAGGTTTCAATGCAGAGAGAAGGAGTGTGATCATGATAAAATGTCTGGTTACTCTTCATATCAGATTATATGCAATAGTTCATCAGACATATCAAGCATTGAAAAGTAAAACTGAAAAGAGAGAATATCAGTTACTAGTGTGGCAGTACTAACTAAAAATATGTTACGAAAAAGAACAAGAAAAAAAAGAACTATTACCAGCCCAATGCATTGCCCTACCCAAGGGCAGTGATGGTCAAATCTTTCAACGCAGTTATTGCAGATTGAACAGTGAGAACAGCGGGGAGGTCTATAAAGCATGCAGGTGTCACAGTATTTGATCTTGACGGTAATGCCATTGACCTCAACTTCTTTAATGCGAGGCAAACGTAATTGAGGGGTTTGTCCACCACCTTCCACAGTACCATCATAACCTTCTGGTTCTGGAGGGTGTGCATTACGAGGAATTATTCCTGGATCCCTTCCAGATGTGAGAAGGAGTAGAACTAAAACCTGTAATATTGAAATGTGAAACTATTAGACATACAAAATAGGAAGGCAATTAGGTTGCCAATCCTATTCATTGTAAGGAGAGCCACTTAACCGTCGAATGGAAGACTATTGACACAACCAAGCCAACCTTACATCCTTGAGATGCAGTGCCAAGTTGATATGTGATCAACTTTGAGATGATTGACTTTCTAATACTCGGAATTTTGTTTCCAGTAACCGTGAGATTAAATAAAGGCAAGTTTATAGAGGTATTGTGTTGTCATAAAGTGCAGGTGATGAGGATGTTAGAATCAATGAGAAGTAGGGAGAGAGAACTTACATAGAATGTGAACACAATGACTACAACCATAATCAATATCCCCAGGTGATTTGAAAAATCATCCATGAGCTTTCTTGCAACAAAGACACAGAAAACTGAGACAGGGGCCACTATGAGAAATATGGTCAGTGCTAGGGATCTTGCGTCTGGCCCAAATATGAACCTTCCTTGGAAGAAAAATATCTGTCAGCAATTTAAGAATAAAAGTTCTAGTAAGGAAGGAGTCATAACTTTTGTCTATTTTTAAGATAGTAAATCGTTTTTATAGACCTGATTCAGTTTGTCCTGATAAAATAATCGTTGGTAAAAGTTAATGTGACAAACATGATGTTAAGTTTTAGATGAGATAGCAAGTGTGAATAAACTGGATAAGCTCTTACATTGCTTCCTTTCCATGTCTGGTAAATCCGCAAGTCCTCGGATCCAGACAATGGATCGGGTCGTTTTGGAGGAGGAACGACATACATCTCTGGGGCTTCCTCGAGATCTCCAGCAGCAAACAGAGAGACTTCTGTGCCTTGCCGGACAAACACTCAGATTCCGGTGAAGCTTTTTTTTTTGGTTAAATGAGCCGACAAAGGCATGAGGGTAGTAAAGAGAGAGTGTGTAAAAAGGGTTTGGTTTGGTTTGGTAGGGGACCCATTTTTCACTTTACAGGATGGTCAAACTGACGTGGCATATTATCGTTGGCTGACATACTGGAGTCTGGACCCCATCAACTTTTGTTACCTTTCCTTTCCTTCTTCACTAATGCCCTAGCCCTCCTATTTCTATTTTTGTTTCTGTAATGAAATTACTTGTTTACTCACCCACCAACCAAATGACCCTCTTTCTCACTTTTAAGGAGTTCATCACAGAAAAAAAATATTATATATTTATAGTGCTTACATAATCTAAATACAATTCAGCTGAAGAATAGTATCAATTGGTTCTATGGTGTAGTGGTTAGCACTCTGGACTTTGAATCCAGCGACCTGGGTTCGACTCCCGGTAGGACCTCTCTTTTGAAAATCAATATTATTTTGTATATAAATTTCATTATTATTTATATATTACTCATAAATAAAATTTAATTAACTTAAGTCTTAACTTTCACATTTTTTTTAAATTCAACACTTAATTTTTAGCCCGACTAAGACCAAGTCAATCAAAATCTTTATCTTTATCTACCCCGCGTCACATTAGATAGTCACATTTTTTTAATTGAACCACTTTATTCGCATAATGATAACTATAATATTGTTTAATTGAATACATAATAACTTTCATGTGGATTGTTCATGTAATAGGTTTTTGGATCTATCGAGATGCATATACTCTCAATAAATTTAATTTAAACCAAAAAGAACAAAACCCCGAATCAGACCAAACCAAACCGATGGTTTTTTTTTCCATTTGGTTTGGGTTTAGAAATTTAAGGTTTTAATTAATATCGATCCAAACCGAACCATGATTGTTTACGGTTATGGCTACAAAAAATCATACCAAACCACAATTCGAACCAAACTAATTAAAAACTTGAAATTTCGTTTGATTTGGCTTTGAATTTTGAATATCAATACTATTTAGTTTGATTTTGATTTTACTAAAAAAAGACAACTGCAAAAATATCGAAATTGAACTTATAATTAGATATATAAATTTTATAATTATTTATATATTATTTATAAATAAAATATAAATAGTTTTTTAAATTTTAAGTAACTTTAAGTCTTTAGCTTTATCATTTTCTTAAACCCCACACTTACCTTAGTTAAGGTTCCACACTTTCTCTTAATTGAATCTCTTTATTCGTGTAATGATAACTTTAATATTGCTTATTGCTAATTGAACCAACAATAGTTTTTATCTCTATTGTTCATATACTAGGTGTTTGTGTCGATCAAGATATGTTTGTCCTGAAAAATGTATTACTTTCAAACTGAAAAAAAAAATAGAAAAATTGAACCAAACCAATTTATTTTATCCGTTTGGTTTGGTTTTAGTAATTTAGAAAACCAACTAGATTAATTTGATTTTAATTTTTACCAATAACCGATCTTAACCGAATACATGAATTTATTTATGATATTTTGAGGGATAAAAAGTGAAATAAGAAGAATCATACCTACATTACTAAACTCTGTACGGTACAATTCTTACATTATTACTCTTGAATCCTTAATCCATGTGGTTGCTTATATATTTTAATCTTAATTTAACATTCTTGTTTGTTTGGTTAGTACTTGAACAAAACCTAATTAGTAGTACTTGTTAATGATAAATGCCATATAGTAGTTGTATTGAATTTATTTTGTCAAGCATACAAATACATCAATAATGCCAATAATTTCTTTTTTATGAGTATATACATACGACACTGTTTCAAAAATTTGAATAAAAATGCTGTTCTGTGACAAGGAAACTAACTTACAATCAATCACCACCTTGATTTATAATCTAAATCATCATCCGCATTCTGTTTCCCTTTCTCTCTCCAGGTCTCGCCCCACTTCTTGGCCTCTGCAACAGCTCTCTCCCGCTCTTGATCTTTGTTTGAAGCTCTTATTTCTGTTATATCCATCTGAGCTCCATCAAAATCAACAGAGCTTCCATTTGTCCCTTCTCCCCCATGAGATCCAATCTGAGCTGCAGGTGAATCATGCTTTTGGGATGCAAAGTAACTCAAAGCAAGCACGATGTCTTTCATGTGAGGTCGAGCATGGGGATCATCCTGAACACACATTAAGACCAGTTCTACTACCCTGCGGAAGACAGATTGTGGAAATTTGCCTCTTAACATTGGATCCGCTAACTGTACATAGTTCATGCGGTCTTTTAACATAGGACGTGCCTGAGAAACTTCACTGTTAGCAGGGAGAAAAGGAAGCGCACAAACAGGAGCCTACACTTCTCATTCAGAAAAAGAAAAAAAAATCAAACTATGATACATTTCAATGGTCAGAACTGTGCATATCACTTGATAGATCAGTCATTCTCATTTTTCGGTAACTTTGGGCCTCCTCCAAGGCAGAGAGAGACCTTCAACCAAAATACCTTTGACACGTTGATAGAACTATGCATCACTCAGAGAAAAAACTTTATGCTTCAAGAGTCAAAAAAGGACACACAAACATTTTTAAACTCAATAGTGAAACAAAAACTTATATTTGTGTCTCAAAGTTGGTTCATTTTCCAGCTTGCCAAGTATAATGACTTCAATCAATTAAATGTGAAGTAATTACCCAGTCAACAAGCATTTCTTTTCCATGTTCGTGAGAGTCATCCATTGCTCTACATCCAGTAATTAGCTCCAACAAGAGCACACCAAAACTATAGATGTCGGATTTCATAGTCAGTTTTCCTGTTCCAGCATACTCAGGTGCACAATATCCATGAGTGCCCATAACCCGAGTTGAAACATGTGTGTTGTCTGCAATTGGGCCAAACTTTGCAAGACCAAAGTCAGAAAGTTTAGCATGGAAACCCTCACCCAATAATATGTTTGCCGACTTAAGGTCCCTGTAGATAACAGGACGATCAGCGTGGTTGTGAAGGTACTCCAGGCCTTTGGCGGCACCAGATGCTATTACCATCCTGGTATCCCAATCCAATGGCTTCATGTCAGGCGTAATATCTGCACATTATACTATTAATCAACACATTTTTCATACTTTAGAGGGAAAATGAATATATTAGTTGCATCCTCTGATGCATGTACAATTTTTAAAAAAATCTACAGAAAAAAAAGTTCCCACACATAGTAACAACTTTGGCAGACAACCACAAAAAGGATCAACAAATTTAATACATGGTTAATAGAATAATAAGAGAGGGCAGTTGATATCCATCAAATGTGGCAGTGCAGCCTTAAAGAAGTGAAGACTTCCTCGATAAAGAAAAAAGAAATAATGAAAATAGAAGTGAATGAGTATTAAAGAATGATACTAATAGTAACTTCATATCTTCAAGGGACTTAAAAGTTTGATCAAACTTACTTTGAAGTCACTTTTAGCTTCTGAAAGTGTTTGACAAGGTTAAAAATAACTTAAAATAAACTTTTAAAAAAGAGAAGAGTAGGTCTCTCCTACTTTTTATTTTTTTGACTTAAAAACTTAAAAGCTATTTATTTTATTAGGTCGGGCTCTAAATGAGTTAAGCTATCAAAGACGATCCAAAAGTTTATAGCAAATAATGCATGAATGTAGAGCTCTGAAGCATAACAGATTGGTGCAGGTTGACAAATAAGAATTTATTTCTAAGGTGAGAATAGTGAATGAGCATTACCATGGAGATGATATTCCAAAGATCCTAGAGGCATGAATTCATAGATAAGAAGTCGCTGCTCTCCTTCAGAGCAGTAACCAATTAGATTAACCAGGTTAGGGTGCCGCATCAGTGAGAGCATGTGAACCTCTACAAAGAACTCCTTATCCCCTTGAAGACCGGAATGATTTAGCTTCTTAACAGCCACAACCTGAATGGTTATAGAAATTCAAGGATGATAAATTTGAAATGACCAAAACACACTTCATTTAGTGAAAATCACCTGATTCGTGTTAAGTTTCCCTTTGAATACTGGCCCAAAGCCACCTTCCCCAATAATGGATTGTCGCCTGAAATTGTTTGTGGCGGTTGCAATATCCCGGTAAGAAAAAGTTGGAAGGTTGCTTCTCGGAGGAGAATCATGTTTTGATATCAGTACTTGCTGTGTGGGCTCCAGCAGTGAGCTATGTTTGATAGCATTATCTGGAAGGTGCAGAGTAATTAAAAATAGGAAAAATGATTAGCAATATTTGCATGTAATTGGGGATGCATAACAAATTCAAGCTTCCTTTAATACTACTAATGTGATTGAAGTTGATAACCTAGATAAATAATAGAAGTTTCGTGAGAGCATGTAGCAAAAAGAATGTCAGGCAGCAGATGTATGCAAACATAATCCTGAGCTTGGGAGTAAAAACCCAAAACATTTATTAATAAAGTATGTAGGTTGGAACCTGGAGGAAGATGAGGGGTAGTTGGTTTACCCATTGATCACATTCTCATTCGCATCTCAAGCTTTACCAATACCTACCTAGGGTTAATAATTCACATTGGATCGGATGGGTCGGGCCTGCCTGTCTACACTTAAATACATACATGGAGAATAGGATCACTTGTTTCCTCTACCTTCCTCCTCCTTTCTTCTTCCCTATCCCTAATTTATGTCATCTCATAAATAATTTTGATAAAATCATTATAATTTTTTTTTAAAAAATATTGGACAAATTACTAAAATGTTATAACTACAACTTTATTTTGCTTTTTCAATATTTCCCATAATCATTTGTTTCATAACACAGTGACCACAAGTTTGATGTTATATAAGCTAAAAGATTGAGAATCTCAAAAATTAAAAAATTAAGTCAATTTTATGTTGACATACTAAAATGGAAGTAGTAATATATTTTGGATGAGATGGTTATGGAGATGGTGAGTAGTGAGTGGGAGAGGCCGTCCTTGATTCGTGCAAGTTTATGGCATTGAGAATATTAGACGTGGACAAGAGTGGACGTTAAAGGTAACTAACTAATTAATGTGATCCCACACATTTCCTTTCTCGTCGATTTGCTCGCTGCATCTCCAATCACAACACTTTCCTTACTCTTTTTGATAATGTAAGCTCAATTTTCCTGCTAAACTTACCTACTCACTCACACAATTACAATCATGGATCTAACACAAACTTCTTCTGATCAAACAAAATCCAATGACAAACAGCCAGATGAAACTCCTCCTGCCCATGAAACAAAGTCTACAGAAGAAGAAATTGTTGAACAACTGCAAACAGACGATAGAGTCATCAACACAACAGAGGATGATGGTGCCAAGACAGACGATATCAAACCTGAAGACGACGATGAGGTCAAGGTTGAAGTTTCTTCTCCCCTGCCTCCTGATCTCGATAAGGTTTCAGAAGAAATAGATCAATTTATCTCTGAATCATCAAACTTTAAAGGGGATGATGATGAATCTAAGCCTCCCGATGTTCCTGTGTTTGTAGAACAATTTGCTGTTCTTGTTGAAGCGAAAATTGATGAATATGATGGCGGTGATGCACCCGTCAAATGGAGCCAGCTAGCTCAGGAGGAAGCCACATCATTTTTAAATATTGTAGATCGAATCTCCAAGCTATTTACCTCCCTCTGTCGATTTTCTTCAGAGTACAAATATGCTTATTCAATCAGCCGCGTCGATGGTGTTCTTCAACGAGCAATGTCCTACATAGAGGAAGAATACAAGTCAATCCTCTACGATTACAAGATCAATACTGATTCAGATATCACCAATTTAGACACTTCTTCTGCCAAGCCTAACCCTAATTCTTCATCATCAGACACCAATGAAGATGCAGAACAAGACACTGCTTCTGAATCTAAACCTTCTGAAGAAAATAAATTTCCAGGCTACTCTGAGGAAATCGTAGCCACATTGAATAAATTTTCCAAAGCCTTAATTGCAGGAGGCTATGAAGCAGAATGCTGTCAGGTCTATTTCATCGCACGGAGGAAAGCTTTGGAGGAAAGCTTGCATAAGCTTGGCTTTGAAAAATATAGCATCGAGGATGTGCAGAAGATGAATTGGGAACCATTGGAGAGAGAGGTTACTGCTTGGATTGCAACATTCAGGCACTGCACTAATGTGCTCTTCTCCAGTGAACGCAAGCTGGCGGATGCGGTGTTTGAGGATCAACCATCAATTTCTGAGACCATCTTCAGCAATTTGTCTCGAGGTATGATGATCCAACTCCTTAATTTCGCTGAAGCCGTTTCCATGACAAAACGGGCTGCTGAAAAACTCTTCAAGTTTCTCGACATTTATGAGACGTTGCGGGATTTTATCCCTTTGGTGGATAAGATATTTCCAGTTTCTTACGCTGATGAACTCAAGGCTGAAGCTACATTGAGTCGGGGCCGCTTAGGGGAATCCATGGTTTCTATCTTTTCGGAGCTGGAAAACTCAATCCAGGGGGACTCAAACAAGACCGCGGTTCCAGGTGGTGCTGTTCATCCTTTAACTCGGTACATCATGAATTATCTGAAATATGTAGGGGAGTACAGAGACACGTTAGAGCAGGTATTCAGAGAACATCAAATGATAGAAAGAGCTGACTCAGCCACGGGATCGGATTTTGATTGTCAAAATCCACAAGCGGGTCAGAGTAGTAATAATAATAATAATAATAATAATAATCATAATAATAATAATACGTCATCGAATAAACCATCACCGTTTGAGACGCATATGATAAAAGTGATGGATCTATTGGATTCAAATCTGGAGGGAAAATCAAGGCTTTACAAAGACACTTCACTCAGTTCAATATTCATGATGAATAACGGACGATACATCTTGCAAAAAATAAAAGGATCTCCAGAGATGAATAGCCTGATGGGGGATCAATGGTACAGAAAGCGATCTTCAGATCTAAGACAGTACCACAAGAATTACCAAAGAGAAACGTGGGGTAAATTGTTGCAATGTTTAAACCACGAGGGATTGAATGTGAATGGGAAAGTGAATAAACCAATATTAAAAGAGAGGTTCAAGAGTTTCAATGCATTGTTTGATGAGATACACAAGACGCAGAGCAGTTGGGTGATTAGCGACGAGCAATTGCAATCGGAGCTGAGAGTTTCCATATCAAACATGGTTATACCAGCGTACAGGTCATTCTTGGGAAGGTTTAGTCAAACATTTACTCCGGGAAGGCAGACGGAGAAGTATGTAAAGTACCAACCTGAAGAAATTGAAACAGACATTGATGAGCTATTCGATGGAAATACTACGCCATGGGGGAGGAAGAAATTGTAATCCATATATTTATTATATTATTATTATCTAGAGAGAGAGATCAGTTGATGATCAATAACGTTTCTTTTTTGTGTTGTAACTTTCTTTTTCTTCTTTTTTTTGGGTTGTTCTTTCATGTTTGTAGTGGTACCTATACAGTACTCAATTAATTAAACTTTTCTTTCTCTTTTAAGTTTTATATATAATCCCAAACTTTAGTTTTATAGGAGCAACATAACCGTCTTGAAAATAGAGTTTTTCTTTAACTATGATGTAATATTTATCTTATTTTACTTTATGAAATTCATATTACATCGACATTTTGAAATACATAAATTTTTATATTACATGATGATTATTTAGAAAAATAATTAAAAAAATCAAAATGAAAAAAGGTATAAAATAGAGAAATTGAAATTGATATTCAAATATAGAGAATGACAATTGACACGTTACTATGTATACCTGTAAAAGGACTAAGAAAAAAAAGAAGAAGTTCAAAATAAAGTATATTTTCAATAGGTATATTTTTTAATATAAATTTTAAAAAAAGGGTCACATAAATTAAGATAAAGAACAAAAATATTGAAAAATAACTTTGTTGATTAAATCAGACACATAAATTACGCTCGTTATAAGTGTTATTTTGTTACACACATATGAACGCCTCATTAGTATTCTCTCTCCCTCGAGAGCTTGGTGTTCTTAGCGAAACGAAATGGGTGCGTGAAATAAATGGACTAGGGTAAAATAAACTAAATTTGGATTGAAAAAAATGAACCTAGGTGAAAATAAACGGGTTTGGATCAAATGAATCGGGTCGAGGCATCAATTTATTCAGTTAGAGGCTAGAGGCGAGTGACTCTCACTCTATGCATAATGTTTTGGGTTGGGTGACGAAAGGGGTACTTAATGTGTGTAATAGGTTGCCCCATTAATAAAATTGTGTAAAAGACTTTTTGGTACAAGTTGAGGGGGCAATTCATGTCTTTTTCCTGAATAAATATGCAGATTACATATCGATCTACCTCATGATGCTATGAAAAATTTTATGATGAATGAGACACAAGTATGATATGGCAGATAAAAGTGTATAAGACCCATTTATATTTTGCCAAGTGGATCTATTTTAGAAAATTGACCAAATATTTTTCTCTCTTCCTTTTCACGTTTTCCTTCTCTTACTTTTTTTTTTACTTTCTTCCCTTTATTTTCTAACAATTATTCCAAATTTTATATAACTTTATTCATGAAAAATATGGAATTAAAAAAATCTTACTCGACTCATTTTATTTTAACTTTTTGATAATATTTTTTCATGTCGATATTAATTATTTATATAATTGAAAATGGTTATATAAAATTATTTGTTAATTTTTAAAGATTTAATTAAATACAATTTTCTATTTTATTATAACAATTAATTATTTTTAAAAGTAAAATTTATAAAGCTACCCCAAAAAATTAAAGTGTAAATTAGTAAAACTATTTTTCTATTTATGATTTCTTAAGAAATTTGTAAAAGAAAAAATAGATTATTAATATGAAAACAAAGAAGGTAGAAATTTAATATGTTCTTTTATTTTTCTCTCAACAATTTCATAATCAAAAAACAATTTAATCCACAAAATATTCTTCAAAAGTAAATATAACGGAAAGAACATTAATGATATTGACAAACATTTACATAAGTTTTGATACTATTGTCATGAAATTCAAAAACGAAATACATCCATAAACACCAACATAAATACATATTATTTCCGTCAATTTATACAATATTTTTATTCTTAAAATTCAAGGTAGGTGTAATTTAATTAATATTTTATTTATTAACTTTTCTTACACATTTCTTAAGAAATTATAAATATAAATAATAATTTAAATAATTTATTCCTTAAAAGAATTTTTGCAATTTTATAAATTTTATTTATAAGTTTTTAAAGATATTTTTTAGGATTAGAAAACCTATTATAACTTGATTTTATAAACTAAAAATTAAATTTCAAACAATATTTATTGTAATAGAATAAATATCATATAATAAAAAAATAATAAACTAAAAACTTTTATAATGATCGTACAATTTAAATAAAAACTCAGTACGTAAAAAAAGAAAAGCATAAACTAATTCGATCAACAAATAAATCCTTAAAAGATGTGATTAAAATAATCTTTAAAAAAAACATATTTTAAAAAAAGTTAAAACACAATATATTGAGTAAGAGACATAAAACAAAAAAATGACAAAGAAGACTTAGGGCCCGTTTGGATGAGCTTAATAAAAGCAGCTTTAAAAAAGTACTTTTGAAAGTGCTGAAACTTATTTTTAAAATAAGCAGTTATGCGTTTGGATAAAAGTGCTGAGGTTGCTATGCCAAACGTGAAAAGGAAAAAATGGAAGAAAGAGATGTTAGGGTTATGTGGGTAATTTGGAGATTGTATAAAAATATTAAGGACAAAAAGATAAAAATGTGGTCAAACTTAAAACAGCTTATAAGCTAGAAAAAAAAAAACACCCCTACCCCAGCTTTTAACTTTTGGCTTAAAATAAGTTTTTTTAACTTAAAATAAGTTATTTTGAGTATTGCCAAACAGATAAATAAGTCAAAATCAGCTTTTAAGTCAGTTTGACCAGCTTTTAAGCTGAGCCAAACAGGCTTTTAAAAGTGTTCCTTTATTAGCTTGACAAATGGGTCCCATCTATATTCATTTGTCAATCAAACAATGTCTTATACAAGTATGACATGACGTGCCTCATACATAATAAAATATTTCTCATGCTTTGGAGAA